TTCCCCCTGCTCTAACCACTCCACAACCCAGCCCCGTCCCCCTGCCCTGGGTGCAGCGCACACTAGGGCAGGGCCTTGCCCACCCTTTGGCCCTGGCCCCCCGCTCAGTGCTCAATGCAAACCTTTCCCGGGCCACCCGCTGCTACTGACATAGCCGCAGCCGGGCAGGGCGCTGTCGGTTCACCCGTAGGAAGGGGGCTATTCCTGGAAATCCTTAAACCCGTCGAAGCGCCTCCACTTTGTCGGGTTAGTTCATCAAACTTCATTTAAAAACCCTTCTCCTGCGGGACAGAGTGAGGCCACCGCGTCCCGCAGCCCCCCCCGTGCTGGGCAGTCTCGCCTCCCTTTGCCCTCCTCCCCCCCTTCCCCCCCGTGTGCTGGGCTGGGCCCTGCGAGGCCTCAGAGCGCCCCCTCTGCAGCAGGGAGGAGAGGGCGGGGCCTCGGCCCTCCTCGGCAGCCAGGGGGTGAATGTGGGGAGCCAGGTGTGGTGGCCAACAGCAGGGGCAGGGTGGCCTCTTCTGGGGTTCTGGGTGGATTTTGTGGCTCCCCTTGGATCTGGGGTTGGGCCAAAAATGAGGGGTTCAGTGTGGGAGCTGGGGCTGGCAGTCAGTGGGATAGGGCTGGGGGTGCAGGAGCAGGCTGGGAGCAGGGTGTCTGGCCGGGGGAAGAGGGCAGGAGCAAGGGAGGGTGCAGTGTGTGGCCAGGAGAGAAGGTGCAGGAGCGGGCTGGGGGTAGGTGTCTGGCCAGGGGGGAGGGTGCAGGAGCGGGCTGGGGGTGCGAGGTCTGTACATGAGGGGAAGGGGGCAACTTACCTGCCTTTGTGCCCCCCTCTGCTCCCAGGCACCTACGATTCCGGCCAATGGGAGCAGCAGGGAAGTGTCCAGTCAGCACTTCCACACGCTTCTGCCCCCCCAGCCGAGGGAGAGGGGCATCAGGGCTTTCTTCCCCACCCCCCAGTGGGAAGCCGGCGCTGGCTCGCCAACCTCGTGGGTGTGTGTGTGGGTGGGTGGGTTATGTCAGTGAGAGCCACTGACTTAAAGGCAGCAGAACTTTAAGCCCATGAGCAGCGATCACACTGAAGTCTTGGGTTTAAAGTGAAATAAAAGGTGTAGCACTTCAAAGACTAACAAGATGGTTTATTAGGTGATGAGCTTTCATGAGATAGACCCACTTCCTCAGAGCAAATTGTGGAAGAAAATTGGCACGACCATATATACCAAAGGAATGCAATAAAAAAAAGTGAATGCATATAAAGTTGACAAATCAGATTTTAGAACAGAGGGAAGGTGGGGTGGAGGGGGGGAAGGTTAGTGGCTATGAGATAATGATATTAGGGGTGGTAATTGGTAAAGCAATCTTTGTAATGGGTGAGGTAATTAGCATCTTTGTTAAGGCCCATTCGTAAAGTGTCAAATTTAAGCATGAATGACAGTTCTGAGGTTTCCCTTTGAAGTCTGGAGATAAAGTCTCTTTGTAGAAAGATACATGTAGCAAGGTCATTGAGAGAATGTCCAGGCTGGTCGAAATGACAAGGAACTGTTTTTTCGTTATGAAAATGTCTGGTGTCTATTTTGTGGGCATTGATTCTTTGGCGAAGAGTCTGCCCGTGAGCAGCGATCACATTGAAGTCTTGGGTTTAAAGTGAAACAAAAGGTGCAGCACTTCAAAGACTAACAAGATGGTTTATTAGGTGATGAGCTTTCGTGGGCCAGACCCACTTCCTCTAATCAAATTGTGGAAGAAAATTGGCATGACCATGTATACCAAAGGAATATAATGAAAAAAGTGAACACATTACTAAACTGACAAATCAGATTTAGTTTAAAGTGACACTTACGCCTTTTGTTATCGCACTGGGGGTTAGCAGTGTTAACCTGTGGGACTCCCTGCCACTGGGAATCAGCGGGCTTAACCCATAAGAGTGGCCATATGGGGTCAGACCAAAGGCCCAACTAGCCCAGTGTCCTGTCTGCTCAGAGAGTCCAATGCCAGGTGCCCCAGAGGGAGTGAACAGAACAGGGAATCCCCAAATGACCCCTCCACAGTCACCCATTTTCAGCTTCTGACAAAACTCACCATATTTCCTGCCCCTGGGAACCAGTGGGGAAGCTGTGGGGTTAACCAGCAGGACTATATCTACACTCTATGACTATGGCCATTCTTGCGCAAGAACCCGCAGAGTGTCCACACTGCCTGCCTGCTCTTGCGCAAGAAGATTTACAGTACGGCGTCAAAAGAGAGGGCTTCTTGCGCAAGAGCTACGCTCTTTTCTAACAGGTGTAAGCCCTCTTGCACAGGAGCTCTTGTGCAAAAGGGCAGAGTGGACGTGCAACAGGGATTTCTTGCACAAGAAAGCCCTGTGGCTAAAATGACAGTACTATGCAGCACTTCAAAGACTAACAAGACGGTTTATTAGGTGATGAGCTTTCGTGGGCCAGACCCACTTCCTCTGATCAGTGACACTTACGCCTTTTGTTATCGCACTGGGGGTTAGCAGTGTTAACCTGTGGGACTCCCTGCCACTGGGAATCAGCGGGCTTAACCCATAAGAGTGGCCATATGGGGTCAGACCAAAGGCCCAACTAGCCCAGTGTCCTGTCTGCTCAGAGAGTCCAATGCCAGGTGCCCCAGAGGGAGTGAACAGAACAGGGAATCCCCAAATGACCCCTCCACAGTCACCCATTTTCAGCTTCTGACAAAACTCACCATATTTCCTGCCCCTGGGAACCAGTGGGGAAGCTGTGGGGTTAACCAGCAGGACTATATCTACACTCTATGACTATGGCCATTCTTGCGCAAGAACCCGCAGAGTGTCCACACTGCCTGCCTGCTCTTGCGCAAGAAGATTTACAGTACGGCGTCAAAAGAGAGGGCTTCTTGCGCAAGAGCTACGCTCTTTTCTAACAGGTGTAAGCCCTCTTGCACAGGAGCTCTTGTGCAAAAGGGCAGAGTGGACGTGCAACAGGGATTTCTTGCACAAGAAAGCCCTGTGGCTAAAATGACAGTACTATGCAGCACTTCAAAGACTAACAAGATGGTTTATTAGGTGATGAGCTTTCGTGGGCCAGACCCACTTCCTCTGATCAAATTGTGGAAGAAAATTGGCATGACCATATATACCAAAGGAATGCAATAAAAAAAAGTGAATGCATATAAAGTTGACAAATCAGATTTTAGAACAGAGGGAAGGTGGGGTGGAGGGGGGGAAGGTTAGTGGCTATGAGATAATGATATTAGGGGTGGTAATTGGTAAAGCAATCTTTGTAATGGGTGAGGTAATTAGCATCTTTGTTAAGGCCCATTCGTAAAGTGTCAAATTTAAGCATGAATGACAGTTCTGAGGTTTCCCTTTGAAGTCTGGAGATAAAGTCTCTTTGTAGAAAGATACATGTAGCAAGGTCATTGAGAGAATGTCCAGGCTGGTCGAAATGACAAGGAACTGTTTTTTCGTTATGAAAATGTCTGGTGTCTATTTTGTGGGCATTGATTCTTTGGCGAAGAGTCTGAGAAGTTTGTCCAATGTACATAGCAGATGGACACTGTTTGCACATGCTGGCATAAATTATATTTCTGGATGAACAGGAATATGTGTTCTTGATCTTCTGACTGACATTGTTAGGTCCTGTAATGGTGTCAGCAGAGTAACTATGTGGACAAAGCTGGCAACGGGGTTTGTTGCAAGGGAAAGTTCCAGGGTTGGTGTTAGTGGGGTATGTCCTGTGGTTGTTGGTAAGAATCATCCAGAGGTTAGGTGGTTGTCTAAAGGGATATGTCTACACTACAGCGCTAGTTCGAACTAACTTAGTTCGAATTAGTTAATTAGTATAGGTTATAGGTTATTGAAAATGCGCTGGAGGGGTTTAAGTTGGGGGTTGAAGGTGATGA